AAAAAAAAAAAAGAAAGAAAGAAAGAAAGAAAGAAAACCTCAGACCCCATCTTGCAAAAGCACCTTTTTATTCCTGTCTTTTTATCTGTATATAAAAACCACCCTATTTCCCACTCATCCAGCCTCTATGGAGAGAAAGTGATTCAGGGGTCAGCCGGGTGGCATGGTGGTTAAGGCAGCTGGATCACACACAACCAAGTGCATGATTCCAGTCCCAGATCCAGCAGCCTGGAAAATACGCCGGGCGCACATGTGTGCTTACCCAAAATTCTGAGAGGAGAATAGAGAAGAAGTTTTACAGCATGGCCATCCCCCTGCTGGGTGATTTCTCACCCACCCCTCAAGCGCACATACCCTACAGCAAAAACTAGGGAGGGAAAAAGTGATTTGGCTGGGCAGGACCGGAGTAGAGAGACCTCTGCCTGGGCTGCTCCCCATCCCCATAAGTCAGACTTATGGGGTGGCATGGGAGAGGATCAGGAAAGGGATGCTGGGGAGGTGGCATCTGACAGCCATCTTGTTTAAATTGTGACAGGTTGAGAGACAAGGAAGGACCTCAAAAAGCTGTAAGCTCTCAAGGGCAGGAATTGAGTCTTGCTTATTACTTGTTCCTCAGTGTCTAGAACTGAGCTTTAAGAGGTGCTTATGTTTGGGGATGAATAGATGAATGAGCAAATGAACAAATATTTAGGTTAATAATATTCCAGGAAGAAAGGACAACATGAAGTCTTGGAAATGGGAGTCACCTATCAGGGGGACAGAGATGAAGAGAACAGTGGCTCGCATGTATAGAGTGCTTTTTTGTGCCATGTACTAAGGTAAATCCTATAGCGACAACCAATGATTGGGACTTCTAATATTCCCTTTTTTTCTTATTAGAAATAGGTTTTTGCTATAGGGCACATGTGCTCACTAGAAAGACAGAGAGACAGAAAGTGAGGAATCACCCCCTGGGGGTATGACCATACTGCAATCCCTTCTCCTCCATTCTCCTCTTGTGATCTTGGGCATGCACGCACACCTACCCAGCATGAGTTTAAGCCACCGGGTCCAAGACTCAAACCATAGTCGGCTACATGGGGATCCAACAACATAGCCATTATGCCAACTACTGGTCCCTAATATTCCCCTTTTATAATTGAGAACAGGCTAGGGAGGTTCCTGGGACCCTGGGGTGGAAAGCCCAGGTCTCTGCCCCCTCAGCAGCTTTCTCACAGTCTCCCCTCCCCCTCTTTCTTCTCAGAGCTACACCCCCACAGTGTTTGAGCGGTATATTGTCAATATGCAAATAAAGGGCAAGCCTGTATGCCTCCAAATCTGGGACACAGCAGGTAGGTATGGCAGGGGCTCAGGGAGGGGCAGGGTGGAAGAGGGGCTTCTGTGGGCACCTGATGCCTGGGGCAGAGCACTGCACCCTTCCTTCTGAATGGGGTAACTAGCCAATCTCCCGGGGATAGGTGTTGGCCAGGATTGCCCACATCCACCTCAGAACCTGAACCTGCTTCTGCACCTGTCTGCCCGCAACCCCATTCCAGGGTATCCCACTGTGCCCTGGAGACAACAGGGAGGCCAAAACTCTTTGTTTTCAAGGAGTAGTCTGTTCCTGGCCTCCCAAACAGTCTATCCTGGCTTTAGCTTCTACGTGATCTGTCCAACCTTGGTCTCAGGCTTCCAGCCTCCTGACTTTGACTGCATTTGAGAGTTAGTTCAGAATTAAACTCAGGGAGTCCCAGCAGCCTCTTTTCTCAGATAGGCTAATAAGGCTTTGCCAGGGTCCCACTGGCCCGTACACCTTACCCCTCAAGCTCAGGGCAGAACAAGCTTCTGAGTGATGAGCCTGAATTCTCCAGGGTGTTCTAGGCCTGGACTTCTTGCCCCCATTCCTTCTAGAACAGTCTCTCAGCAATGGTCTTCCCTGGCCAGGTGGCATATCCCACTGGCAGGCCAGGTGAGCACTGTCCCAAAGGGTCACTCACATGGAGTAGTCACCTAAATGCCAAATTCCTATCAGACTCCAGGGCACAAAACTTTGCCCTGCCTTCCAGAAGACCTCCATCTGATGAGATGACCTCCTGGGTATTGGGGAGGTACTGATAGTGGACAGGAGAGCTAGAGGACGTGACCACCCCTTCTCTGCCCAGGACAAGATGACTATGACCGTCTGCGGCCCCTGTTCTATCCTGATGCCAGCGTCCTGCTCCTCTGCTTCGACGTCACCAGCCCACACAGCTTTGACAATGTCTTCAACCGAGTAAGTTCTTGGAGGGCAGGGAGGTAGTGTCCGAGTGGCTGGCCCCTCTGCTCCTCCCCCCACCCTTACCCCCTACAATATACGAGAGGACTTTAGAAAGTTTGTGGAAAATGGAATTAAAGTAGACATCTATTTTAGTGCAAAAAAATTTTGAAATTTATGGATTTTTTTTTCATAATATACACTTTCCATAAACTTTTTGAAAACCCTTTTATATGGGGAACCGAGGCCCATAGGGAGACAACAGCTTACACAGGGTCATACAGGGACTTGGGGCAGGTCTGCCCTCCTGACTCCCAGTCCCATGCTCTTTGCTCCCTTCTGGTGCAGACTCAGAGCACTGTGGTTCTTTCCCCCTGTGACTCTTCTTGAGAATGCTGGGTGACCCAGAGGCCCAACATCATCCCAGTCTGTGCCTTCCCGAAATTGCACAAACCATAAAGTCAAACCTAGCAGCTTCTGTAAAGCTCTGATTCCAGTCAGATTCCATCCGCAGGGTTACTGGCTCTCTGAGGTCTCCCAGTGATGGCAGGGGTTCCCAAGGCTGCTCATGTGTGTCAGGGATATGGTCCCAGCTCCAGCTCCTCTAGCCAGCACACAGCACCTCCCTATTGCTGCCAGGACCTCCATGTGGACAGCATGTTCCAAGTTTCCTCAGGTCCCTGCCAGTCACGGCACTGGTAATAACAATGATGTCAACGTTTAGTAAATACCTACCATGTGCCAGGCACGTTTCTGGGGCTTAGATATATTTAGTCACTAAATCCCCCTCGCAGCCTTTTGGAGTAGGTACTATTATTATTCCCAGATTGAGTCACTTATCCAAAGATACATATCTATCAAAGTGGTTGACACTAGGATTTGAACCCAGGCAGGTTACTTCATGGATTTATTTAGAACTATTGATTGTGTACATCTGTGAGGGGACTTTAAAAAGTTTGTGAAAAATGGAATTAAAATACGAGTTTCTTTTGTTGCAAAACATTTCGAAATCCATGCATAGTTTCTCATAATATGCATCTTCTGCAAACTTTTTGAAGATCTCATATATGTCCCAGGCATTGTTCTTGGCATTGAGGACCAGGAGAGTCAGGGTGCCTGGACCAGGTTGCTAATAGTGATGGTAGACTTAGAATCTGTCCAGAAGGCAGAGCCATCAGAATTTGCAGGTGGATTAAACAAGAGTAGGAGGAGTTTTGACCAGATCTACCAGAAGATAGAGTTGCCATTTCCCAAGAAAAGGAGAAAGCTGGAGGTGGGGAGAAAAAGGGGGACCTGTGGAGCCTGTTGTGTACCCCAGGGGAGGTGTTAGGCAAGGCAGTTGGAGCTGGGAGCCGACAGCTTCCCGGAGAGGGCAAGCTGGACTGGATGGGTGGGTTAGGAGCTGCTAGTGGAGTCAAGCCACAGAATTGAAGAGGCTGTCCAAGAGTGAGAACAGATCAGGAGCAAGCACAACCTGAGCTCCAGGGAGAAGAGAAGGAGGTCTGGTCACACCTTGGTAAGAACTCGGAGAGCCAGGACAGTGGGCTTGTGGGGTACAGTGCAGACCCCATAGGTCTAGAGGAGAGCGCGATGCTTGGCATCAAGGCTGCAGAGGGCTCAGGTGGGAACACAGCTGAAAGTCTACTAAGGAGAGCCTTTCCCAGAACAGTTTTGGTGGATGGCTTGGGGTGTGTGGAATCACCCAGGACCCCACACAGATTCCACCTGACTCCAAGAAGTTGCCAATTTTTCCTAATCAGGCAAACTCAGGAAGCTGGTGTTCTGGAGATAGAAGGTCCCCCTTTCTGGATTCCTGGCTTCCCAGTTGCAGTCCAAGCTAAAACAGCCCAGTTCTGGTGGCTCCGCATTCCACAGAGCAGCCAACACAAGATAGGAGCCTTCCCTCCAATGGGCAAACAGCTAGGCAGGCAGCTACTGCAACAATTTTGTGAGATAATTTATTTTAAAGGGTGGCTTATTTCTTTATATATTTTCCCCATTTGGGGAAAATACTTACCTTGCAGAGACTGGATTCTGGTAGGGGTGGGAATAGGGCTCTGGGCCCCACCTCCTAGACTCAAATTCTGTCATTTCCAGTTGTATGACCAAGGCCAAACTACATAGCCTCTCTTTGCCTCAGTTAGTGCATCTGTACAATGGGATTTATTATAAAATTTGCTTGTAGGGGGGCCAGTAGGTGGCGTGGTGGTTAGAGACACTAGACTCCCAAATGGCTATCTATGGTTCGAGTCCTGGGCCTGGCAGCTTGCTTTCTCGCTTACCTTCTCTCTCTCTGTCTGATCAAACTGCAAAATAATAATAATAGTAATAAATAAAGTTAAATAAAATTTTTTTTTAAAAAAAGAGCAGAAAATTGAAAAAAAAAAAAAGAATTTGCTTGTAGGGGGGACCAACAGGTGGCATGGTGGTTAAGGCACTGAACTCCCACGTGGCCAGCCATGGTTTGAGTCCCAGATCTAGTGGCTTGCTTCCTCACTTTCTTTCTGTCTAATAAGCATGCATGTTCTATAGCAAATTAAATAATAATGATAATAAATAAAATAAATAATTATCTTTTTTTTAAAGAATTATTTATTTAATACTATTTATTTATGGGGCCAGCAGGTGGCATGGTGGTTAGGGGCGCTGGACTCCCACATGGCCGATCACGATTCGGGTCCCAGACCTGGCGGCTTGCTCTCTCACTTTCTCTCTATGTCTTTTGCTCACTCTATCCCTTTCTGGTCAAATTAAACAAATAAATAGATAAATAAAGTTAAATAAAAATAATTTTAAAAAATATATATTATTCATTTATTCATTTATTTTAATTTGGTCAGAGAGAGAAAGTGAGAAAAGAAGACACCAGGTCTGGGTCTTGAACCATGGTTAATTGATTTTTTGCAATCTGTCTCTCTGTGTTTCTCTGTCTTCCTGGCAAGCCCATGGCCCTATAGGAAGAACATCTCAAAAAAAAAAAAAAAGAATTATTTTTTTAAAAATTATTTAATTTTATTTATTATGTTTTTTAGTTTGACCAGAGAGAGACAGAAAGTACAAAAGGAAGTGGCCAGGTCTGGCACTTGAGTCCAGTGCCTTAATCATCACACTACCTGCTGACCCCAATAAATAATTCTTTAAAAAAGAAGATTTGGGGCTGGCAAGTGGTGTAGTGGTTAAGGGTGCTGGACTCCCACATGACTGACTGTGGTTCAAGTCCCAGACCTGGCAGATTGCTTTCTCACTTTCTCCCTCTCTCCCTTTCTCTCTCTCTTTCTCTCATTCTGTCCCTCTCTGGTCAAATTAAAATAAATAAATAAAATTAAATAATTATTTTAAATAATCTTTAAAAAAAAGATCTTGGGGGACTAGCAGATGGCTTAACAGTTACCTCATTGGACTCCCACTTAGTCAACCACGGTTCTAGTCCCAGATCTGGTGGCTTAAAACTCATGCCAGGTGTGTACACACCCAAGATCCTGGGAGGAGAATGAAGGAGAGGGATCGCCATTTCCTTGAGGGGTGATTTCTCACTTTCTGTCTGTTTCTCTCTGTCTCTCCAGTGAGTGCACGCTCCCATAGCAAAAATCTCTCTTTAAAAAGAAAAAAAGGTCTTGGGAACCAGCAGTTAGCGTAATGGCTGTGTCGCTGGACTCCCACATAGTCGAGCACGGTTTGTGTCCCGTACCCGGTGGCTTAAAACTCACGCCGGGCGCGTGTGCGTGCGTGCCCAAGATCCCGAGAGGAGAATGGAGGAGAAGGGATTGCGGCGTGACCATCCCCCCTGGGGGGTGATTTCTCGCTTTCTGTCTCTATGTCTCTCTCTGTCTGTCTGGCGAGCGCACGCGCCCTACAGTGAAAATCTCTCCAAAAAAAAAAAAAAAGAAAAAAAGGTCTTGAGACCAGTAAATGGTTTAAGGGTTATATTACTGGACTCCCACATGGCTGACTGAGGTTCGTGTCCCAGACCCATAGGCTTGAAAATCACGCCCGGTGCATTTGCGTGCATGCCCAAGATCCCTGGAGGAGAATGGAGAAGAAGGGATTGTGATGTGGCCATCCCCACCCCACCCCCGGGGGGGTGATTTCTCTCTTCTCTCTCACTGTCTCTGTCTCTCTCTCTTCCTGGTGAGCACATGTGCCCTAAGGCAAAAACCTCTTAAGAAAAAAAAAAGGATTTGCTTGTAGGGACTTGGGGGATTAATGAGTTCATAAATACAAATTCTCCAACATAGGCTGGCTTTGAGTAATTTCCCCCTAAATGCTGGTTGTGCTGATTGCCATTATCAGAGTCTAGCCTGGGGATCTGGAGAGTGGCCCCTCAGAGGCCAGAACTCCAATGGCTCAAACATGCACACACATCCTTGCACCCTGCAGTGGTACCCGGAGGCGAATCACTTCTGCAAGGAGGTGCCTGTCATCGTCGTGGGCTGCAAAACTGACCTGCGCAAGGACAAGACGCTGGTGAATAAGCTGCGGAAAAATGGGTTGGAGCCTGTGACCTACCACAGGGTAGGAAACCCAGCACAGGGGCAGGTTGGCGAGGACTGGGAGAGAGCAGCTCTGGATATTTCTTATAGTGCCAAGCGTCGAGGGTGTGGAGCAGGGCAGGGTTCCTCTTGGAAACTACCAGGGCAGGAATTGCCCGCGCTGCAAAATGGTACCTGGGACACTCTGGCAGGTTCGCCATAGACGGGAGAGCCATGAAGTGTGCATATTGGGATTAGAACTACCCACTCACTTCTCAGATAGGAACCGAAGGTCCAGAGAGGAACACAACGCCTCCCCCCTTCAGTGTTCGGGCCCCTTTCTGCTGTATACCTGGGTGAGCAGTCAGAAGCTATTTAGTTGGTGCCTTGAGATCACAGAGACCCTGTCCAAAACTGAGGCAGCAAACATAAAACTGCATAAGAGGGCCTGGTCAGAGTGCAGGAGCTGTGGGTACCCTAGAAAATCCCCGTCTTCCACTGTGGCCCTAGAGACTCAGGATGGTTAAGACTATAAGGAAGCCAGACATGAGGCCCAAACGGCATCCCCACCTCACAGAAGCCCCATCCTTTTCTCCTTGCCAGGGCCAGGAGATGGCGAGGTCTGTGGGTGCAGTGGCCTACCTCGAGTGCTCGGCTCGTCTCCATGACAACATCCACGCCGTCTTCCAGGAGGCAGCCGTTGTAGCTCTCAGCAGTCGCAGTCGCAACTTCTGGCGGAGAGTTACCCAGAGCCTTTGTGTGGTGACCTGACTGGCCTGGGGCCCTCCCTGGGCCATCTCTGCCCCAACTGCCCAGCAGCCCAGGACAAAGCTGGGCGCTGACCTTCTGCCAAGTTGTCTGGGTTGGATGCAGCCCCCAGGCTGACTGCTGAACTGTACCTCTATAAAGGGGCACCACCGAGTCTGGGGCTTGGAAACCCTGGACAGTAGAAGGGAGTTTTCGGGCCCACCAGCCCTGCAGAGAGCTGGTTCTACAGTACCCTGGAATCACTCAATCGGACACCCATCCTCCAGTCCTGGACCCTCATCTTCCGGTGGCCATATGCACCTTGGCACCACCTCATGGCTGTTCTCAGGGTTGCACCTGCCTGGCCAGTTGTTCTTAGTACTATCCTGCCTGAACCCACCTCTGCCCTTTGTCCCCCTTTGCCTTAGTGGTAACTATAGCAACTAAAATGACATCACTTGTCATTTGTGTCATGCCTCTTGTTTCAAACTGACTTGACGTATGCGTGCTAAGGTGGATAAAAGTCCACCCCATGTAAGCACTGGGTTGGGACTACTTGAATCCAGATCCAGCTTTATCACTTCCAGGACCTTGAACAAGTTCTTCTGAACCTCAGCTTCTTCATCTGTGAAATGAGATCAGTCAGCCTAGCTCCATAGCACAGCTGTTAAGTGCTGTGCATAGGGAGCCAGATTTGCAGTCCAAATCCTTGAAAATCATGCTGGGCAAATGTATGTGGTGCCTAAAATCCTGATGGGACAGAGAAACGGAAGAAAAAGAATGACTGGGCCAGTCCTATGCCTAGTGGTTGAGACCTGGATCCCACTTAGCTGACTGCGGTTAGAATCTTGGCCCTGGCAGCTTGAAAAACATGCCCAGGTACATGTGCATGCGTGCCCAGAATTCCAACAGGATGGAGAAATGGAGAAGGTGATTTGATTGTCCAAAATAAATAAAAATGAAGGAGAAAGGATTGCAACTTGACCATGCCCCAGTGGAGGTGGTACTTTCTCTCTCATAATTAAAAATCTGAAAGCAAGGGGACAGAAGGTGGTAAAGTGCTTAAGGCACAGGACTCCCATGTGGCAGTTCAAGTCCTGGACCTGGTGGCTAGACACTCACACTGCGTGTGTGTGCCCAAAATCCCAACAGGAGAATGAAAGAGCAGGGATTGCGGTGTGGCCATTCCTCCTGGGGAATGTGTTCGGTCTCTCTGTCTCTCTGAGCACACGCTACCTATAGCAAAAATCTCTCAAACACACACACACAGAAAGTGAGCCAGTTGGTGGTGTGGTGATTAAGGTGACTGGATTCCACATAGCCAGCTACACAGGTCAAGGTCTAGACTTGATGGCTTGAAAAACATTCCGTGTGTGTGTGTGTGTGTGTGTGTGTGTGTGTGTGTGCTCGCGCGCAAGTGCGTGTGTCCAAAATCCCTAAAGGAGACCTAGAAAAGGGATTGTGACATGACCTTTTTTTTAATTTAAATTTATTTATTCACATTCATTCATTGTACATCATTATAGTATACAGAATGAAATTTTCTACCCAGAATACACTATATATTGGCTCAATCTAGCACATCAATATACATGTTATCATCAACAAATAATTTTCCACTTCTTGTTTCCTGTATATGTTGCTTTTTCTCTCATCCTTGATTCCCTGTCTCTCACCCTCTGCCATCTCCCACCCTCCTCCCACACTTGACATGACCATTTTGCATGCTCTCTCTCTCTCTCTCTAATGAGTGCAGATGCCCTAAAACAAAAAATTAAAAAGGAGAGAAAAAAGAGCCACCAGGTGGCATGGTAGTTAAAGCACTGGACTCCCACATGGTCAACCGCTGTTCAAGCCCCAGACCCAACAGCATGAAGATCGTGCTGGACACCTGTGCTACGTGCCCAAAATCCCAAGAGGAGAATGGAGGAGAAGGGATTGTGGTGTGGCCATCCCCCCTGAGGAGTGATTTCTCACTTTCCTTCTCTCTGTCTCTGGCAAGTGCATGTGCACCATGTCAAAACCTTAAAACATAAAAGAAAGAAAAGAAAAGGAATTATGTCATGACCATACCCCATAGGGGAGCTCTCTCTGTCTATCTGGTTATCTCTCTCTCTCTCTTTCTCTCTCTCTCTCTCTCTCACACACACACACACACACACACACACACAAACACACAATTCTCTCTGGCAATTAAAAAAGAAAAAAGAAAATGAGCCAATTACAGACTATGAGCTGGATCTGTAGATCAATAAAAAGATCATACACTTTATCCCGCACTGTCTGTGGCTCTCCTCTATGCCCAGCACCATGGGCACCTGACAAGCCATTTTTTATTTCATCACAGCAACCCTATAAGATGGGCATGATTATCTCCATTTATTAGATGGGGTATTGAAGGTAACAGACCAGCCAGGTTGCATGGTGGTTAAGGTGACTAGATCCGACATGCTCGACTGTGTGACTTGAGTCCCAGACCCTGTAACTTGAAAAATACACTAGGTGCTGTGTGTGTGCCCAAAATTCCAAGAAGAGAAATAGAGGAGGGATTGTGATGTGTCCACCCCCCCGGGTGGTGCTTTCTCACATCTCTATCTCTCCTGTGAGCACACATAAAGAAAGAAAAAATAAGGGGAAAAAAAAGAAAACCATGGGGGCCAAGTGGTGAGACAACACTGTGCAAGGTCAGCCCACCTAGCAGGGTTCCAGACTCATATCTGGAAACCTACCTGGGCATGCCAAGTGTATACACGCCGATGAGCCAGGGCTGGGGGCCCTGTTGGAGGTGCCTGCTTCCCTCCATCTCTCTGATTCATGAAATAACTGAATAATTTTTTTTTTAATTATACACATCACAGGACCAGCAGATGGTGTAATGATTACGCCACTGGACTCCCACATAGTTGGCCATGGTTCAAGTCCCATACCTGGTGGCTTAAAACTCACGCCAGGCACATGTGTAAGCATGCCCAAAGTCCCGAGAGGATAATGGAGGAGAAGGGATTGTGGCATAGGCATTCCTCCTGGGGGGGAGTGATTTCTTGCTTTCTTCTCTCTGGCAAGTACATGTGCCCTATAGCAAAAATCTCTCTTTGAAATAAAAACAAACAACACATTGGGACCAGCAGATGGCATAGCAATTACATCACTGGACTCCCACATAGCCAACTGCAGTTTGAGTCCCAGATCCAGTGGCTTGAAAATCACACCAGGCACATGTGCGTCTGTGCCCAAGCTCCTGGGAGAATGGAGGAAAAGGAATTGCAGCGTGGCCATCCCTGTGGGGGAGTGATTTCTCACTTTCCCTCTCACTATCTCTGTTGCTCTTTCTCTGGCAAGCTCACACATCCTAAGGCAAAAACCTCTTTTTTTTAAAAAGTTGTACACCCGGGACCAGCAGTTGACATAACAACTATGTCACTGGACTCCCTTGTAGTTTCACACAATTCGAGTCCCAGACCCAGTGGCTTAAACTAATGCCAGGCGCATGTGCGTGCGTGCCCAAGATCCCAAGAGGAGAATGGAGGAGAAGGGATTGCGGCGTGGCCATCCTCCCTGGGTGGTGATTTCTCACTCTCTGTCTCTCTGTCTCTGTCTTTCTGGCAAGAACACGCGCCCTATAGCAAAAACCTCTCCAAAAAAAAAAAATCATACACACAACTATACATGGATTTCTTTGTATTTTTCTTGCATCAAAATAAATACATTCTGTAATTCCATTTTCCCATAAGTTTTTGAACTCCCCTCATACATTTGGTTTTGGTCAGACAGGGCTTACCAAGAACTTTGTTTAGGTTCACATGACAATTGAAAAATATTGGGACTTGAGTCCTGAGTACCTGAGTATAGTGTGGACTAATGTCACTTTGGCCGCTGTTTGTGGTTTGGTTTGGATCAAACACCTGAGCATGAAAAAGTTATCCATTCAGGTCAGAAATAAAGCTAGGGCAAGTGGGGTCATAAAAGGCCCACTTGACTTTGTGGCTCACCCAGGTGGGCAGACAGCAGGGAGGGGACCCAGACCACATTCCAGTGAGGTCTCTTTTAGGAAATGACTGCCTCCTTAAGACTTCGCAGGATTCTAAGTGAGACAGGGGAGCACAGAGAATCGGTGTTGATGAGTTCACGTGTCCTTATCAGTTGCCTGCTCAGTCCTTTTCCATGAAGTATCCCATTTAACACCCACTTTACAGATGAGGAGACAGAGGTTCTGTAACCTGTGTATAGCCCCAAATAATCCCAAGACATGGTAGGGCCAGGATTTAAACCCAGGACTGTCCAACTCCAGAATCTAGGCTGTCAACCCCCGACCCTAGGCCTCTTCTCTGAGTCTCCTCCCCTGGCCATCTTCCCTGGACTCCCAGCCCTGGACTTCTATCTTATAGCAGTATTTATTTATTTTTAAATTTTATTTAGTCATTCGTTTATTTTATTTTTGCCAGTGAGAGACAGAGAGAGAGAGAGAGGGGAGGGGGAAGTGAGAAAGCAAGCCACTAGGTCCAGGACTCGAACAGTGGTCAGCCATGTGGGAGTGCCCAGTGTCTTAACTACCATGCCAACCTCTGGTCCCGTGTACCAGTATTTCATGAGCCCCAAGGAGCTCTCAGTTTAGAGAGATAAGAAAGCCTAAAACTGTCTTTCACAGGTTGGGAGACCCCCCACTTCACCAGACTCCCCCATTATCACAGGTGTTTCAGACATGGCTGGAGCCAGGCTGTGAATACTGGTGGCTTGCCCCAGACACCAAAGTAGGTCGAACATTGCTCAAAAAGCTCAGAAAAAGGCACAGGAACTGGGATTTACTAGGTTCCCACCTAGTACTAGACACTTGGCTAGTAAGGTGCCATGTTTAGACCCATTTCAGAGAAAAAAATGATAACTAGAGTGAAAGAGTGACCTGTGTAGGGTCATGTGACCAGAGGTAGGACCAGGTTTAACTCAAGCTCTCACTGCACTTGACTGAGAATGGAAGATGGGCATCGAGGTCAGGGAGGACCCACTGCTCTGTGTGTGAAGGGTACACAGGATGGAGGCAGGGAGTTTGAGGACTCAGAGGTGTGCAGAGACAAAAGAGGGGCTTCTGGCGCCCCTGGGAGGAAGAGGCGGGAGGTGGGCACAGTGGCTGGTCTGGTGGGGTCACAGTGGCTAGAAAGGAAGATTCCCCACTGAGGAGCTGTGGGAGTCGGGAACATACATACTCAACATTGTCTCTAGTCCCTGCCCTTTTCCTGGCCAAGAGTCACTTTCCTTGCTTTCTTTGAGGGCTCATCACCACTGGAAATGGTCCTGTCGGTCTTCCCACTGGCATGCCAGCTCCCAGAACACAAAGTGGGTTTGCTGGAATCCCTTATTCTGCAAACCATGCCCAGCATGTAAATATTCAGCGTACATGTGACAGTAAGTGGCTGAACGAATGCTATGAATCAGTGCTCCCTATCAGCCTCCGTCCATTCTGGCCTGGATT